AGACCAGGATAACAGGGAGCAAGGATAGGACGTGGCTGAGGTGATTTAGTGCTGCACTGGGGCATTTCTAAAAAAAGCATATTCTCTTTTTACTGCTCTTTGAGCAGCAGACTGAAAAATCAAAGCACCAGCTGGTGTTTACCCCAAGAGCTTTTGCCTCCAGCCCCAGGATGGATCCTCAGGGGCAGAGCAATGCAGGCTGACCGGGGGCCTTTGGCCTCCAGGGCTCAGACACAGAGGTGGAAGATCCTGGATGGGGATTTGAACCCACAAACATGATTTCTGACTATCACATTTCTAACCAACCCCTCCCATTTCCACTCAATATGTCCTCAACGTGCATTTTAGGCATCTGGCATTTTTCCTGTATGAGCAGACATGCTCAATGAGACAGAATAAAGAAACTCCATGAGTAGCTTCCTAGTTGAGGTGTAAAATGATGCTTCTCAGGTGACAACATATTTAAAAAAACCCCCAACCTAAATATATTTTAGGAGGATCAGACTATAAAATAGCTGCCTAATTTTCCCATGTTTCTCAGACACAAAACAGTTTTACACCTTTTGAGTTATTCTGCTGTTTGACACGACTCTAAAAGCTCATGGAAGTACCAGTTAAAGTCAGTTTATGCTGGGAGATATTTCCTGCTGTCACGGGAGGATTTCATAACAGCTGCATAACAGTGCATACAAAATATATACAGAGAATACAGAAAGCAAAGGGAAGGTACAAAGTTAGAGAAAACCCTGGACTCTAATTATATTCCTTCAAGTGAGCAACACTAATTTTTATTCCATGCATTATGGAAATAATCTATGTCAACACACAATAGGTTTTCCCTAAGGTCTCTGCTTTATTTGGGTACAGCACCAGCTAAGCTCATTTCAGGACAGTTATGCAATATTTTTTTTTATCCTTTTCACTCCTTGCTTGGCCCTGTAAATATGCTTGATATAGAGCTGGATCATCACAAAGAATGGCTCAGCCTTTCAAAGTGACTTATTTCTGCACTGTCCACACACTTCATAAACCTCAGTTATTTTGCTTTCAGTGTATGGCACGACCTCATCTTACTGACATTGAGACTAAACTGAGAGGACCTCATTCTTGTTGGGATTTTCAGTCTGAAATTTTTTTTTTATACTGCCTTTTTTTAAGTTGTTCAAGACATGTCTTCCATTCACCTGAACTGCAACAGTGAGTGCTCAGTAACTTTGCACTTCACTTTGGACACCAGTTAAAGGAGGAGACCCCAGTTAATGAACATTCTCAAAGGTTGATTGAAGTGATTTATGGACATAATGTCACACAGAAACTTTAAAGCTGGGCCAGGAAAAGAACTGAATTCTCTAGAGCAGTGTTCTGCTGTCTTCACTGCAGCACATCTGCCCTCCTTCTTCTTTATCCTTCATTCATTACATGAGCTAAAATCATGGCAACAAAGGAGGCACGGGATGCTCCAGGCATCAGGATTGACCAGCTCCCTGGGCAGACAGAAGAATATTCCTGTTAACAAGGATTGTGTCCTAGACCTACATACAAGAAGGCCAAATTAAGGTTACCTGGGCTGATTTCATTTGCCAGCTGAATTTTTGCGAACTTTGATTTTTTAGTAAAAAAATATTCCTGCTTGTTCTGTCCTGTGGGATTGTTTGTACCAACAGGAGTTATCATGCTGAGACTGCTGGGTGTGAGCTCATGGTGTGAGTCAGGAAAGCTGTTAATGAAGTGTGGGAAAGCCCCAGAGTGGGGATCAGGACACAGACAGCTCTGCTGTTCCCTTCCCACTCAGAAAGTGGGAAGTGGAGGCACTCACAGTATCTCACTGCCAGGCCTCCTTCCTACCTGGAGGAAGCAGGCAGTACCATAAAGCTGAGGCTTGGTTATCTCACTTTCTCCCTTTGGGAACAGAGCTCCATTCCATGGGCTTGTTGAACAGCCCTGAGCCAGCAGGAATGATTCCCATTCCAGGAATGAGAGGAGTGACTGTGCTGTTGTGTGGGGGTGCAAAAATGTCCTTTGGCATTGGGATTTTTTAAATATTAGGGTATAAGAAAGGTTTAGTGGTTTAATTTTAATCTTCTTTTGGCATGAAAACCTTTATATGAGATGAAGAAAGAAAAAAAGACTTAGTTCCACCTTTTAAAGTAGGAGCTGATAGAAACTATAAAACACTTTAAGTCCCCAAATTTATGAATGCACACTGTTGAATTGACTTAATTGTCACTAAGCAAAGGATTTTCAAGCTACCAAGTTCATAAAGCATGAACAGGATGTTCTCTGGAATTTGCTTCTGCCAGGAATGTATTGAGCCATGTCTCCTTTCAGACCTGTGTCCTCCTTTTGTCCCATCCTGTCACCAGCTGCTGCTCCAGCTTTGCAGCTTGCTGGCAATGCTCTCTTTGTCTCTGTCCCTCAGAATTTCATTGTTCTGCAGAATTGTGCTATGTTCATTCCATGCATTTGGAAAATGTAACAACTTCTAGGCTAAGCCAGACAGTGCAGATTCAGCATTCTCTGAAAAAAAATCCATAATGGTTTTGTGGCCATAAAGGAGATGGATGGCACCTGGATTTGGGAGTGGTGTCTACAAGAGCCCATCTGTATCCACCACAAGTTTTAACGAGAACAGCTTCCCCTGAGGAGCAGTTTGGGAATGACTAAGAGTGGTGTGACCCAGACTAATACACAATTTGTGTACCTCGCCAGGTTCTCCAGCCACAGCTGAGTACTGCAGCCTGATGCTAAATGTCAAATGCCCATCAGCTGTTGGGGCAAGGATATGAAGAACTGATCTGAAATATCAACCACATGGCTTTGAAGTTGTGGCATGTCTGGGCTTGTGGCAAAAATACACCAGAGTTATTCCAGCTCTTGTATTTTTCCAGCTACTGAAAAATCTTCCTGTGGCTTCTAAATTTATTTCCCTATTTCCTACTTTGTTGATCAGTTTTTGCCATTTCAGAAACCTGAAATGGAAGTATTAATGGTGATCACAAATTAAATGTTACTGGTCCTCTGAATATACAACCCAAAAGAAGCTGTGCTGATTCTATTATTCCATACAGTAACTAAAATTACTTTCTCCTTCCTGTTTAAACATCAGCCATAAGTTCTGATAGAATTTCTAGTGCAAGAGTATGACTGTGTGGTATGATGTGATATAGTGCAACGATATGGCTCTTCAGTCTGATTGAACTTCTTTAGACTACGTGAACATTTGCTTGCAGAACAGTTTCTCATAAAGTATTTGAATCACTCTCAGATGTCATGGTGTTTAGAGCAGACTTGTTTTCTTTGGAGTAAATAGTTATTACCTCTGGCCAGCATTTTATCTGTTTTTCTGTCTGGCTACCCAGGACCTCCAGAGGGACGTGCTCCCTGCTCCTCTTCCCCGGCAGCTCTGGAGCTTCTCCCTTCAGAACACAGTTCTCCTTTGCCCCCATTTCCACTAGGACTTGCTGTCCAAGGAATAATCAGACTTGTGTGGGGCTGGTGGATGCCAACAGGAAAGGCTGTTGCTCATCTGAGTGCCTCACAATGCCCTGCCCCAGCACAGTGTGGAAGAACGGAAAGGGAACGATCCTCGTGCTGATCCAGTTTCCCAGCTTTTGGCTGTGCCTCACAAGACCGTGCATTTTCAGTTGACCTCTGCTACTCACAGCTTTTTGGGAGCTTCCAATCTTGTTAAAGAGCCTGTCTGTCAAAAGCCTTTCTCTGTGCAGTTTTTCCTTACCAAGTGGTGAAACTCCGGGATGTAACCCAGCTGTGTCTTATTCAGCATGACAGGAATGGAACCGTTTAAGCCACTGATGTAAATCAAATGTGATCTTAATGTTATTTCTAAACAGAAACACTCAACAACTCCAGAGGCCAAGGTCTCACTTGATCACATGTAAAACAAACACATCTCCTCCATATATTTACGAGTATCTGATTGCTGTTATTAGTCACAAAGTCATTACCTGTGTGCCCTGTATTCCCTCTTTTCCTGCTGCACAGTCATTGCCTCTGGTTATCAGTCAGGGTCTTGGTACTTCTCTGGAAAGCACTTTGATTGCTCTGCTTTAACAAAAAAATCTTACAGAGATCATTTATCCCAGGAATAACCAGGAGTAGGAACTTATTGGACTGGAAATAATAGTGTAGATGTGGGTTCTACACATTATTCTCATGGCCAAACCAGGAGTTCAAAGGGTACATTCACCTCCAATGAGAACACACCCAGGCTGGTCAAATGCAACAAACTGCTTTGCTGGAGTGCTTTTAAAGTAAAAAAAAATTGCCTATAAATATTCTGAGATTGCTGTGAGGAGAATAATCTGTGTCAGCCAAGGCTTCCTTTTGCTTTCCTCTGATTTAGAATTAAGTGTCTGCAACACTTTAGGATATAAATGTTACCATGATGATATGATAAAGCTACTGACTTGTTAAACTCTTCAGAACTTTTATTTGTTAATTGTACAGTGACTAGAACCATGGTTTCATGCCTAATTGGAACCACTAAGTATTGCTAAAAACCTCCTTTCCCTGGATAAGTTACCCCTTCTCTTTACCCAGCTTAATTAGTAAGTTATCTATGAAAAGAATATTTTGTCTTTAGAATATTTATTCACACTAGATTTTTTAATTTGAGTAAATACCTATCAAATGGGAATGAGATAAATGGAGATGACTTTATTTGGTTTGCAATAACTAACACCTTATAATGCTAATAAAGCCATTAAAGAATTCGTACTGGTTGAGGTTCTTCTCCAGAAATTCTGTCTCACTTTCTACTTCAATTAGGTTGAACCTGTAAAGACCAGCTGAGCTTTATACCCCTGAGAAAGAGAGGGGAATTTCATTTAAATAATAAATTTTTTTTAAGGTTGTGATTTGTAAAAGGTTTCCTAGACCCTCTTAACCTGCAGAGTTGCCTCTGCAAGTTCACAGCCAATAAATGCATACAGGTGATTTCTGCTCGACCTTTTTAAGCACTTCATGTTTTCTGTCCCCAGGTGTGGGTGGATGCTGGCACACAGATATTTTTCTCTTATGCCATTTGCTTGGGGTGCCTGACAGCCCTGGGAAGCTACAACAACTACAACAACAACTGCTACAGGTAATTCCTTCCACGCTCTTGTTCTGCATCTGTTTTCAGTGATGGAAGTGTCCACACGCCCAGCTTCACTCGGAATTGCTTCCATTTTCCTTTGGCTGTTTGCATCAATATTCATAAGCATTTAGTAGAACAAAGATCTATAATGTTCCTCATAACTGTCTCAGAGGAAAACCTTCCCAAAATTGGGTGTTTTCTTCCCTTTTGATCATATCTGACCCTTAGGCAGCCACGAGCCCCTCAGTGCACATCAGGATACACAATTGCATGGGAAAATACAGAATTCCAGATGTGTATAACTGCACTTGGGTGTGTTATTTGACCTGCTTTAAAAAAAATCCCACTCAAAAACTATTATTAAAACTCACCTAAGTTGGGTCTCCACTCTGAGTGTCACTTTATCCCAGAGTCTGCAGGCCCAGAGCAGAGGGAATGGGCAGCATTTCGTGGCTTATCTCTGTAGAAATCAGTGGGGGAATTGCTGATGACTTCAGTAGGTTTTAATCTTTCCTGAATCAATATCAAAAGGATATGACTCTCACAAAGTCCTCATTCTGTGTCATTGGCATGGGCAGGAATACCAGCAGTGCTTTTTTCTTCTGGCATCAGTGATTATTGAATTCATTTTCCTACAATTCCTACCAGGTATTAAAGGACACTTTGTATTGAGTCCATTATGGTCTCCAGACGGAGAATTAAAATTTCACTTTTCTGTAAAAGAAATAATACAGTCCAAAAGCAAAAGAACCCCAAACACACCACCCCTTAAAGCCCTGAAAGTGTAAGTATTTCAATTCTGAGTTACAGTGTTACTTGGAGAGTTTTAGGAAACGCCTCCTTCTTTCCATGTTTGCTCTTCTGTCAGAGAAACACCGACCTATAGGACTGTTCAGACACAGACATACAAAACAGCTGTGCTGTGAAAAGCAGAATTAAATTTATATTCTAATTACTACTTAAAAAAAAAATCAAAATCAAGATATGGGTTTTCCTCCTGCAATCCCTACAGTTCATTGTCTGATCATAATATTGATTTTTTTTTGCCCTCTGTTTTCCTACATTTTTTTCCTAGGGGAAAGTTGCTGTGGAAAATAATGACATGAGGTATTTTAGTGCAAAAAAAGAAATCTAAACTGCACGAGGGTCTTGCAAATTAAAGATTCAAACCTGATTTAATTCATTAACATTGTAAATGAATTGTAAGCAAGTCACTTTGCATCTTTGAATAGGAAATTAGTTTTTATTGTCCTTACTTAGCTTTCACTGTAACACATAAATACAGATCCTCCCTGGATTTACTGCAGTTTATATTAAAAGTAACTCTTGTGAAAGGATGAAATTAGTGGCAGTGCCATCACCAGGCAGTGTTTTCCCCTCATAAATAAGAGAAAGGTGTACTGAGGTTTCCTCTAATTTTTATCAAACTCAGAATGCTCTTTAGTTTCTATAGTTTTTATTCTGTTAGTAATAAACTTTGATATAATTCCGCCATGCTGAGTTTGCTGCCTGTCTGAAAACTTCTCTTCATGCAGGCTCTGATGCCTTTCTACCAAGGGTGCTCATAAAAAATTCCAGTGGTTCTTGGGCATTAGTTTTTTAAAGTTTATTTGTTTCACAACCGACAGATCCAGACCCCCCCTCTCAATTTTCCTTCTCAAAGTGGCAAAAAAGGACTAAACTGCAGGTTCCACACATCTGTCAACAGGGAAAAAAACCCAAAGAGTTGAGGGGCTAGTAGAATTCCTGCAAAGACAAAAGAAGGATGGAAATTAAAACTGGAGATTATAGGAGTGGAAACACTGGTGGGTTCCCAGAGAACCTGCATTTGGTCTGTGACTTCTTCACTGGGGGATGAAAATGATTCAGCTGTAGTTCTGTTACATGGAAAGGACAGGTACTGGAGGTGATGAAAATCCCCTTAGGTTGCCCATTCTCTTGGAGAAATCTGTACCTACCCTCTGGATATTTTGGGCCAAGGTGCTGTGGTTTTTAGGACTTCCCTGTGAGTGGAGGAATGGGTGTGATCCTCTTGTTCAGTGGGATAGTCCAGCTCCAACCATTTGGACCTTCCTTCTTGAGTGAGCAGCAGACACAGACAGGGGCTCTGAAGGTGCACAGGAGTGATGTGTCTCCACCTCCAGCCTTTATCTCCTGTTCAGGAATCAGCAGTCTCAAGTGTCTTGTGCCATCATTCTGCAGCAAAAAAAAAAAAAAATAAAAAAAAATATCTTGTTGTTTGGACTGCATTTGAGGCCTGGGAATTATCTAAACTAAATCTTATCTGCAGAAAGCAGGCTGTGCCAAGTGGAAGCATCATGTGGCTGGTGAACAGCCAGCTCCACCCCACTGAAGCAGTATCTCTTTTTCCCCCCAGAAGTTTAAAAAATCCATCTTTCTGACCTCTCTTATCGACAGGTTTTTGTCACATTGAGTTTTAATTTCTCAGCACTGGACTCACCAGTTTCTGAGGTGAGAGAGGCTGCAGTGAGAATCCCTCCAGAGCTTAACTCAGAGCTGAAATACACTGAGAAGGTCAGGAAGGTGGTGTTTTGCTTTGTTTTATTTCTCTGTAAAGCACAAAGGACTCTGTGCTCCTGGTTCCTTCCTTTTAGATTCTGTTTGATTGCTACTTTGCTTTAAACCATCCAGAGCCTATAGCTGACCTGGCTGGGAATAACTGCAGGATGCAATTTCACATGAAAAGCAAATAAATAACAGGTTAGAATTCTGACTATTTTCAGAAAGTATTTTAAGGAACCTATTTACCCTTGACAATGAACAGGGTTAGAGGGAGTTCAAGCAAGAAGTAAGTGTGAACATCACAGGACTGTTCCATGTCTGAGTATTAATCCACAAATTTTTCATTCCTGGCATATTTTAGTAATTTGTAGATGATGTGACAAATAATTTATTTTTTTTTACAGTGAAATGGTTATGAAAACATAAAACCTTCTCAAATTAACTGTAGCTAAAATGATGAGAGAGAGTCAAAGCCTCTCATGGCCCTGAGAGTTGAGCTGATCTCTCACTTTGCAGCACAGAAATGTCAGGCTGTTCCCCTGCCAGTTGGAATGTGTGTGTCTGATGCTCAGGTGAGTCTCAGCTGGCATCAGGAAGAGTTTTGGAGAGATGTGGGGCAGTGTGGGCTTGTCAGTGAAGGAACAAGATGCTGGAACTGGTCCCCTCACTTCATAAACTCATGAGATGAAGTTACAGGATAAAAATACGAAACCAGCCACAAAACGGAGAGAGAAGCAAAGGAGTTTTGCAGGAATATATGCCAAGAATTTAAAGTATGAATTGTCTCTGGCTCTCAAAAAGTCCCAACAAATCTGTGACAAAGATGTGAACCATTATTGAAGCTGTGAATTTTATAGAGTCCTTTCTTCCAACTGATAGCTTGTGCAAAAACTTGCTTCAGAGCCATAGTAGGATGAGAATAAACCAGACTAAGGGATAGGCTTGAGACAGCTGCAGCCTTGTCTTGTGTTTCAGTGGTTTAGGATCCTAACTTACTTTCAGCCATCTGGGTGAGATCATTGCTTTCTCAAGTACACAGCTTTCTCTCCTGGCAAATAGTCTTAATAGACTGACTGTCATGATAAATCATTCTTGCCCCATCGTCCCTCATGCCTGGAGAGCCATCTGAGGGCAGGATGAACAACCATATTTCACTGAGCTCTGGGGAAAGTCACCCTTTTCTGCAAGAATATCTTCCCTTTTTTTTTAAAGTGATTTACTTCTGCGACGTTTCCATTCTGGGGAAGGAAATACTTCTTCACCTTGGCCTTGTCATTGTCACAGTTTGATAGGTAGGATATGTTTGTCTGAGAGGTCCCTACACAGTCTTGGCCTTTGTTGGGCACTTTTTCAGGCATGCACAGATTTCCTAGACTATCTACAATTCTTTTCATATCCACAACTTCTTAAAAAAAGGTTATAAACCATACTGGAGTTGTATTTTGTATGGATATATATTGCCAATATAACTGAAATAGAAGGAGCTAAGATCTGACCATAGGATTTTTTTTTCCCCAGGAAGAAAATGATACCACTTTTATATAGTTTATAAATGAATTCGTGTCCTCTGGAATATATTATTGCAACTACTCTGGAGTTCTTAATGTCATTCTTGCAATAGTTTTACGTATTTTCTAAAGATTCTGTTGGAAAAGAGCAAACAGGTTTGCAATTCCATCAGTTAAAACACAGCCAGGGTTTTATCATGGTATCCTCCTGCACGTGTTTATTCCTGGCTGGTTGCTCCCAATCACAAAATGAGTTGGGAGTTTACTCTTAATGAGCAATCTACTGTTCATTCCTGCAGCCTGGTGTTCTGTTAGTCCTGTGGCTCAGTGTTGGAAGGGAAACCCCTGCTCTGGAGATCAACAGCAGTGTTTTTTATTTATATTTTCAGAGACTGCATCATGCTCTGCTGCTTGAACAGTGGCACAAGTTTTGTTGCTGGTTTTGCTATCTTTTCAGTTCTTGGATTTATGGCTTATGAACAAGGCGTGCCCATTGCAGAAGTTGCAGAGTCAGGTAAGTTCCAAAACCAGTTTTCTGAGTTAACAAAAAATGCTCAGAGGTTGTAGTCAAAGTCCTTAGTCTGTGCCATGGCTTGTGGATAAGATGACTCATTAGAATAATTGCTGTAAGAAGACTTCTTAACTATTCTTTTGGTCAGATATTTATGTGTGAAAAATATTGATGTGAAAAAATATTATAGTACCAAATTGATAAAGTCAAAGAGCCACTGTTAAACAAACCTACTCCAGCTGATTATTTAGCAGTGATACATTGCTCAGTTGTGTGTTACATCCTCATCCTCATCTGCATTCTGTTTTCTTCCAGTGAGACAGACTGAAATCCACAGATATTTTTTCCTTCTGAAAACAAAAAGTTAGAAAGGATCTATAAGGAAAAAAAGCTGTGGCTATTAAGGTAATGAGAAAACAGCTTTTAGGAGAAGTCTTTGGAAATACTCTGAGGTCTTGCTTGATGTATACAATGCAAATACAGATTTCCAGCAGTCAGATTGCCAACACCCTCTGCTGATGTCAGTAAGCTTGTCTCTGAGGAACATACACTGAGACACTCTGTTTATTAAGCATAAAAGTTTTAGTTTTGAGTCCAGAAGGGCTCAAAGGCCCAGCTTTATGGGAAATCAACCATCTACATTCATTATTGGACTTGGACACCCAGTGGAAGTTAAGTGCTCTTTAACATATTTGTGGGTGTAACATCTTTAAACATCAGTTAAAATTCAGCAGAAGAAAAAGAAGAGGGTGCTGCCCAAAAAAGAAAAACAATGTAATGCTGAGCTGTTAAGGAGAAGAAATGACTCTCATGGAGTTAGACCAAATTAGCAGGCAAACTGCAGAACAATTAGAGCTTCACTAATACTCTCGTGGAAAATATTTCTCTTTTACTGAAGCACTCAAGACAACTGGCTTATAGTGTTTTAGAAACTGTACAGGAAAACAAAAGGTTAAAAGACAGCAGTAACTCTGGACTTTATAGGAGTTTGTAACTCCTGTGTTAAATGAAAAAGCAGTAGTGTGTTAACAGGACCTCAGTGAAGTTATTGCAGCAGGAGCATCAAGGTGCTCCTTTATCAGCCTGTGATACTGCCTTGGTACCCTGCTTTAAAGGCTGGCTGACTTCATTGAAAGCAGCTGAAAAATGAGCAGAGGTAAATAAAAATAAGAACAGGAGAAGATGAACCAGGTGAGATGATATCTTAGCAGATCTGAGAAGTTCTGTTACAAAAATGTTCTATTTTGAAGATTTTTGGAAATGTGCAGCCCATGAATTGATGTTACACACCACCAGCAGCACTCAAAAGCAGAGAGCAGAACAGGAAACAGCCTGTAGATAGATATTTGCCTTGCACCAGGCATGGCTCCCAAAATTCAGCTCCTCCCACTGACTGTATTCCTGCACAAGTTGTCAGATATAGTCCTGTCTTAGGAAAAAATACAGATTCCAGGATATGTTAATAAGTTCTGCAAGGCAATCACAGGACCACAGGCTGTTTATTTGGGGAAGTTGGTACTGCTGCACATCCACCCAAAAAAGGAAAACACAAAGCACTGTGAAGTCAACAGAAGTTCACCTTCAAACATCTGTGCAGGACACAGGCAGTCTTCATCACTAATTTGACTCATCACTTAATGTTCAGACTGAGAGACAAAAAGTTTGTCAAGGTTCTCAGTCTTGTATTTATCCCCTCTCATCTGCCATAAAATAAGAATTGAGTTGTGGTGGGTTGACCCTCAGCAGCAGCTGAGCATCCACATTGCTGTTCACTCCCTCACCCTCCCCGGTGGGATGGGGAAGGGAACAGGAAGAGAAAATGGGAGAAAACTGCTGCACTCAGACACAGCAGTTTAATAAGTGGTGCTGTGGAAAGCCTGGCCAGCAATAGCCACAATCTTGGTGTCAGTAAAGCTGTGCTGCCCTCAGCACTGCACAGGCTGCTCTGGAGGAACTGAACTCCAGCCCAGCCAGACCCACACACAAGAATAAACCATTTCCTTTCTTCTCTTCTTTTTCAGGACCAGGACTTGCATTTATAGCTTACCCTAAAGCTGTTACTATGATGCCTCTTTCTCCACTGTGGGCAGCTCTGTTCTTCATGATGCTCATATTCCTTGGATTAGATAGTCAGGTATGAAAAAAATGCTATTTAAATGTTCTGTCAGATTCCCTGGAATGTGGGTATCAGCACCCTGGGTGTAAGCATCATCTAACCTGATTTAAAACCCAACACTAACTCAGCTCTTCACTTGAGAGCTTTAATTCAAGTTCCTATTTTAAATCTCAGTTATGTGATGCTGGAGATTTCTTCATGATTAACTATGAAGGCTGGTTCAGCTTCTCTCCAGCTTTCATTATTAACATGGAAATCAGTTTGAACTTAAACAAGGGTAATTAAAATTCACAGTTCAGTAAAATACCAGTTGTCTTCTTTCCCCATTTTTAAAGCAATGAATTTTGAAACTGAATATCAGATAGTGATAATGTAATTTTCTATGGTTTATTTTTACTTCAAGATACCATAGCAAGAAATGTGTAGTCATATCCTGAAACAAAGGGGCAGCATAGAATTTGTCCTTCCCGTGTGACCATAAAAAATGCAAACGCTGCTTGAAGAAAAATGTAAAGTGGCTGGAATTTTCAGCATGCAGCTCAGCTCTTAGTATGATTGGGTTCAGAGAGTTTATCATTATATACTGCAGAATAAAGCTCACCAGTTCTTATTTTGCCTGACATTTCCAATCACTAAACTTAATGTTTTAGTAACTGCTCTTTTTCCTGATCTCACAGCTCTTTAAAAGTCTTTTTTTTTTTTTTAATTGAGCAATTCCTGAATTCTGCTCTTGACTGTTCCAGTGAAACAGGCTTTATATTGTCTACTTTTGAGCATTAGTTTTGGTTCCTACTTCAGAAACCTTGCTCCAAAGCCCTGGCTCAGAAGCTCAGGCCTCTTGCTTTCTGCTGCTGTTTAAAGACAGTGAGAGTGTTCCTGCCCTCTTTATTAGAAGTGATTGGGCACTCAACAGCTTTGTGGAACTTCTTTCTTCTGGTGAATGGAGAGAACTTCTCCAAAAATCTGTTCCTTTAGCAGTGCTCCAAGGTGCATTGGCAGTCTGTGTCACTCCTTGGAGTGGCAAAGATGCAGGATGCTTAGAGTGACACCACCTTGCAACCCCACGAGTGGTTTGCACATGATTTAATTCCTATTTGTCTCAGTTTAATGAGACTGAAGTGTTTTGCTAAGGAGGATGAGCTATGAGGAAGACCAAGCTCCTCCCTCTAAGCAAATGTAAATTCAAAATTAAGAGGCTCCAGTAGGGAGATAGAAAAGATAGCAGGCCTTTATTAAAGGATATATGTGTGTTGGCAGAACAACAAAAGAACACAAAAACAACTAAACAATAGTTCTGCACCCAAAGTTCCCTCCAAAAAAAAAAAAACAGTTCAGTACTTTCCACCTTCTGGCACAATTCTAACCACAGACAGCAAGGGCTGACTCACTTGGTGTTTTAGAGTAAGTAAATCTATGACACTATTTAAGCCACATTTGGAAGATTTAATTTTTATTTAAGCCATCTGCTACAGGGCAATTGCATTCTGAGGTAACACTAGTGTATTCAACTGTTTGGATTCAATGGTGGACTGAAAATCCATAACTTTGGAGTTTTTATATCCTGAAAAATTTCTCTTCTGTGTTTGAGCTTCTACCTATTGAGCGTCCTCAGGGATAATCTGCTCCCTATGATGAGAACAGAGAAGGATATTTGAAGGGTTTGGTAGCAAATCCAAATCTCAGCAGCAGAGGAGACACAGATTTCATTTGTGCTTTCCTGCCCTTTGTTGCAGTTCGTGTGTGTGGAAAGCATCGTGACAGCTGTGGTGGACATGTACCCAAAGGTGTTCCGAAGGGGCTACAGGAGAGAACTGCTCATCCTTGGCCTCTCCATTGTGTCATATTTCCTTGGCCTAATAATGTTAACTGAGGTAAGAGGTGCGTTGTTGCAGAGAGCAGGAAATGGGGTTCTGTTTATGATCACGACAGATTAAAAGGAAGAACATTTGCCACAGACAAATTTCCCTGTCAGAAAAAAAAAAACCTACAAAATCCTTGAGAGCCTGTTCTCAGCTCCTTTGTAACATCTGAAATGTAAAAGGTCCCCTCGGTTTTCCAGTTTAGCTTAGGAAATATTTTAATTAAAAATACATAGGAAATTCCATCTGCTTTGCACCAGCCAACCAAATACACTGGCCATGGTTTCTGCTGACTTACTTTGCACAGAAACAACTACATTTGGGATGAAAAGATCGATAATGGAATTGAAGTAAAGTGAAAAGAGAAAATAAAAACATCTTTGGTTTTTCTATCGCTAGGCCAGCTCAATCAATGCAGCACATCTCTGAGCTGAAATTGTTTTGGTAAGAGTAGGGGGGTGAAAAAAGGAATTTTTTTTCCCCCAAACAGACCAGGGTGTTTGCTTTGGGATGTTCTAAACTGAGAATTCCAAGGGTGTCAGTCGATCCCATCAATTCACGACATCTGCCAACGCTGTGTTTGCAAGCCAGGTGGGGACAGATTCTCTGGCACTTGTTAGGAGTTCAGCACTTGTTTTTATCAACAGCCTCCACCTCCCTCACTTTCCCCTCCCAGGACAGGAAGGAGAGGGGCAGGATCCGCACTCTGCCCATATTTCTCCTGGCTGGGCCACTAAGGCCTTCCTGTACCCGGCAGGGCAAAGGACCTTAGAATCATAGAATCATAGAATCAGAGAATCATAGAATCAGAGAATCATAGAATCAGAGAATCATAGAATCAGCTGGGTTCCAAGGGACCTCTGAGATCATCGAGTCCAACCCTTGATCCAACCCCGCTGTGGTTCCCAGCCCATGGCACTGATGCCACATCCAGTCTCTTCTTAAAAACCTCCAGGGATGGAGAATCCACCCCTTCCCTGGGCAGCCCATTCCGATGTCTGATCATCCTCTCTGCAAAGAAATTCTTTCTGATATCCAACCTAACCCTCCCCTGGCACAGCTGCAGACCCAGCCCTCTTGTCTTGCTGATGGTTGCCTGGGAAAAGAGACCAACCCCCCCCTGGCTCCCCCCTCCTGTCAGGGAGTTGCAGAGAGTGAGGAGGTCTCCCCTGAGCCTCCTCTTCTCCAGGCTGAGCCCCCCCAGCTCCCTCAGCCTCTCCTCACAGCACTTGTGCTCCAGTCCCTTCCCCAGCCTCGTTGCTCTCCTCTGGACCTGCTCCAGGACCTCAATGTCCTTCCTGAGCTGAGGGCCCAGAACTGGACACAGCACTCCAGGGGTGGCCTCACCAGTGCTGAGTCCAGGGGAAGAATCACTGCCCTGGACCTGTTGGCCACCCTGTTCCTGAACCAGGCCAGGATCCATTGGCCCTCTTGTCCCCCTGGGCACACTCTGGTCGTGTTCAGTTCCCTGGCAATCCAAGTTCCTTCCATACCTGAGGAGCTGCAGGATGCAGTGCCCGAGGCAGCCTGACTGTACTGACCACCATGTGTCTCAGTTGTGCCCTGACTGCAGCAACCAGCTCATCCAGGGACTGAAATTCCCTCCACGGAGATCCACAGGCCTCTGACCATGTGCTTTTCCGACTGCTTTGTTACTGAAAACGAGCACATTTCACCCAAAAGAAATGTTTGGTGATTTTAAGCACGTTATTCTGCTGTCCTCAGTACAGAAGTCCTTACAACTAAGAGAATAAATGAACTAAACAAAATATATTTGCTTTAGATGCACTTTTAGGGAAAGGAAAACAAAGATGGGGAGATAGTGGAGACTAGGACAAAATAAAATGTTATTTTAGTGACAGGTCTTGCCAGACTAATCAGATGTCCCTGTATGATGCTCTGCATGAAGCAAATGCAGTTGAAGAGAAGCTTTAAATGCTTATATACTTTAAATTTACCTGTTATCCTTCTTACCCTCATTAAGATAAATTGTCTTTGCTATGTAAAATGGGAAATCTTGAAATAAATCCCTCCCACAATGCAAGTGTTGAGCACAGCACTGAAAGACATATTAATGAGATATACAGGTTAAAAGAAATATAAACATGAAGAATGAAGAAGATGCAAGTTCTCCAAACTGACAGGAATATTCTTGGAAGAGTTTTGTGGAGTTGTTATCCTTACATTGTACTGTCTTAGTTGGTTGATCTCTAAGTTTGCAGTTTGCTCAGATGTTTGCTGAGCTTCACCATGAGCACTTTGCAGTAGAGAATCAGTTTTCTTCACTTGCAGAAGATTGTCCAAGATGCAGTGGATCCCACGAGCTCCCCAAATAGCAGTACATTCAAACTGAAGGGCTGACCTCAAATCCCTATTTCCTTTACACAGCTCTCCATGGAGGGAAGACTTAGAATTCCTTTCTGTGGAAATGCTCTTTGTGAATCTCCTCCTCATTATTTCAATATAGAATTTATATGCTATAAAAGATGAAGTATCTCTCACAGAAAGTAGTGCAATATAATTCATATAATTTTAATAGTAGGTCAGACACAGAACCAAGCCCCTGCATCTTCATGTGCAGCACCAGTGGATGTCTGCAGCTCGACGTGATAACAGAGGAAATTAAAAGCAGGAAGGTGGGAGAGCATTTAGAAACCAGACAACTCTAGTTCTCTCCATTACAGACTTACTGCCCTAAAGCAAGTGCACAGTAAAAAAAAACAAAAACCAAAACACAAAAAACCCCAAAAAGCTTTCACAATAAGAAATCACTGAGAAATGAATATTCTTTGTTCAAGAAGTAACCAACCTGAGCAGGAAGGTCGCCAGGGAACCCACAGATTGACTGTGGAACCGAAGCATATTTGCTATGAAATATTCCTGCTGGTACCAACACAATATTTGTTTCCCTTTCCTCTTTTTGTCTTCCAGGGTGGGATGTATGTCTTTCAGCTGTTTGACTCCTATGCAGCCAGTGGCATGTGCCTTCTCTTTGTTGCCATATTTGAATGTGTCTGCATAGGCTGGGTGTATGGTGAGTTGCCTGAAAATTCCTGCCATCTTCACTTTTCCTAGAAGTTTTCTATTTGTGTAAAAGCAAAGTAGAGGCCTTGTACCCTTATGGAGTGGGGCCCTCCACATTCCCATGCCCTGCCAAAAGCCAGGAATGGCTTTTTTTTCCACTCTAAATAAACAAGGGAGTGGAATAGGTGTTTATTTTTTTTCCCCCCTTGGTCCTAGTCAGGACTGACCTCCACCTTCACCGTGGAAGTCCTTTGCTGCCTTGGAGAGTAGGGGTGGCTATAAGCCTTTTTCTCTCGGGAATGGTCTCTGCAGGGTGTGTTCCCCTGCAATTTACAGCCCTCACAGATAAACCCAGGGAAGGTGGACTCCATCCTCATTAACACAGAAGGGACACGGTGGGTGGCCTCAGCTCTGCTGCTTCTGTCTCCAGCAAAGTCCAGGGAAAAACCCTACAATGCTCAGAATGCTCAGGGTTACACCCTCAAGCAGTGTTGGCACACAAAGGAAGGACAATTTCACTTGGTAAAACATCATATGAACTGCAGATCACACACGTGCCCAGCTATCCAGAGAGTCACATACAAGCTTGTAGCATATAAATATATGTATATAATACTCTTTAACTGGGGATGCTCAGACTGTTCCTGACAAGAAGCCCTTTCTGTTTGACATCTCACCCACTCCTTCCTGCTGTTCATGTTGGTCACACACAGGTGTGGGCAGCAGCCTCTCTGCCAGGAGCATGAAGCAGATGGCAGGGAGGTGTGTCAGAGAAAGGCAGTAGCTTCAGTCCTCACAGCTCTGTGTGTGGTTTTCTCCTCATTGTTTGAAAATACTGGCTGTACCACCTCTTATTCTACATTCTACATCTGCTTTTCTCTTGTTTGTTTTTTTTGGGGGGGGGACAGGCAGCAATCGCTTTTATGAGAACATTGAAGATATGATTGGGTACAAACCCCTGTCATTGATTAAATGGTGCTGGATGGTCCTAACTCCAGGTATTTGTGCAGTAAGTACAGAATATCCAAACGATTTGTTTTAGACATAAAGAGGGGGTTTTGTACATGTTTTTATAATTTTGTTGCTGGTAATGATTGAGAAAAAGTGCCTACTGATTTGTATTTCAAATAAAAAACACTCTGTAGGTTCTGTAAAAATGGTTAAATGTTCTGTGAATAGTGAGAAACCTTAGCATGCCCATTCATAGGGAAAGAAATAATCCCAGAGCCCTAAACAAATATTTGCCAGTACAAGGGAGGTGTTTTTCCCTGCATGGTTAGGACACCTTGAGTATTAGCAGACAGCTTGAGCTTCTCCAGACTTGTGCTGGTTCCTTTGCTGCTCCAGCCTCCTTTCTCCTCTCTCTCTGGGTAAACAGACATTTTTCAAAGGAGACAGGACATTTTTTCTTCTAGCAAAAGTAGAAGAGGCCCAAAACACATCCCATGTGCATGAAGAAGGGGAGGGAACTTGCCATAGCAGAAGTTGGCAGTACTGGTGCCAGCTGTGGTGATCTGTGGCTGCATAACAGGGCAAAGTCACAAAAGCAGCATGATCAAATTGTCCAGAAACTTGATCCTGAGAGCTTTCAGTTCTCCAATACACAAATGATAAGCAACTGCAAAACCACAGGTGCTGCAGCACCTGGAGATCCAGGTTCCCTTGGGCTCTGCCAGTTCATTTGCAAACTCAGGACAATTTCAGACTCATTGCCACCAGTTCTGAAATGAACTTTTAACCCAGTGTCTCCTTTAACCACTTTGGAGAAAAGTGCATGGTAGCTTTTTTATGTTTCATAAATATAAATGGTTCAAACTGCTTGATTTGACACCTGTCAAATTTAGAGGGATCTATTGGAGCTTTTGGGAGGATGAAAGCATTGGCCTGCAGAACTGCAGAGACACACAGTGGATCGAGGCAACTTTGAAAATTTGGGCTTTCCTTTTTCATCCTGACAGGTTAGAGAGAACACAGCTTGTGTTGCTTAATCACAGCTGGTTCACGGTGGCAAAGCCTAATCTTTCCTGCCCAGGTACTCTTTGCCATCAAAGTGCAGGACTTATTGTCATCAAGAGGTAAATAGGATTTAAACTTGAAACGTTGTTCATTCCTCTGGGAGCTACTGAGATATGTTGCTTAAGCTGTACATAAAAGGAGATACTGCTGGTGGGTTTTTTTTTCTCTGAGTGAAGAGTTTTGCCTCCTGAGGGAGCCTGGCCTTGCCTAAACACTCAGTCACTATCTTGTTATGCAGGCAGGGTTTTCTCAAATAATACCACTAATAATGTTTCTGCTTGTCTCAGGGAATCTTCATCTTTTTCCTGGTGAAATACAAGCCTCTGAAATACAACAATGTGTATATATACCCTGACTGGGGCTATGGCATAGGGTGGATGATGGCACTCTCTTCCATGGTCTGTATCCCTTTGTGGATCTGCATTAAGCTGTGGAAGACAGAAGGCACTGTCATGGAGGTGAGATATATTTTCAGATTAATGCTGCTGAAGAAAGAATGGAAAGAATGTGTGAATCCTCACGTAGGTGAGACCAGGAACCATTTAATCTGAGCAGCAAAGCCACGTCCCTGTTACAGTGGCAGCCTGAATTAGCCCTCTCACTCAGTGCTGGAAAGAGGGATCTGAACTTCCTCTATTTTCTTCTGAAATCCTGTTGGGTTTTTTTTTTTTGCCTTCACTGACTTGAGCCTGTGGTAAATGAACCAAAACTGCAGCTTTTTGGTGCTCTGTTTCAGCTCAGTTTGCAGCTTAAAATGTCTGTAACGCATCAGGAAGGTTTGTACCAGCCATTCCCTCAGCTCAGCTGCCTTCTTTCCATGGTTTTGGGAACTAATGTTTGTGGTGCCAGGATTTTCCTCCAGGAGCTGGGTAGCAAACACTCACGTGTGTTTTCTGGGCAGTTTTCCTGAATACAGTTCCCTGAATGAGAAATATGGGCAAACAGAAACATTCAGTGCAATTTACTGACAGTTGGTGTCAGGTCAGCTCAGGTTTAGGCTGAGGTTAAGATTATTAAAAGTGTTACCTTTAAACTTGAAAGGCTTTTCGTTTCTGTGGGAACTCCAAAGAAAAACAGTGAAGATGGCAATAATGGAAGAAAAGGGAATATAAATTTTATTCAGCCATTTGGGATTTCTCATATTGCAGAAAAGCCTAATTATATCCATATTGCAATGACTCCATTTAGCTGATTAAACACGGCCTGGAGACTGCCTGGGAAATTTTTACTGTGGATATATAAACAAAAAAACCAGTTTTCCATAATACAGTTTTCTTAACATGTCAAAAAAGGAAATTTTCATGAATCTAAACATGAACTATTTCCTCTATGCATCACCCTCACATATCTCTGCAAGTAAACAGTCTTTAAACTGTGTAATCTACAGCACTGCAGGCAGGTCATTATCTTCTATATACAAGGATGACAAGAGGATTTTTTTAATCCCAGTTGGAAGCTTCTTGGGAAACCAACTTCCTACAGCATCTCTGCTCCCAAGCTGTGAGCTTGTGGACGTTGTTGCTAGAAAAGGGAAAGCTCTTGGATGAACGTGGATAGTTTCCTTTGTTCTTAGATGAATATGGATATTTTGCTTTGTTCTTTAGCTTAACACTTGTTTAGTTACTTTTTCCGGTGCACGTCCTACTACAACATGAGAAGTAAAACCTGCTCATTGAACAGGTATCATGTTGAGTTTCTTCATGGAAGGGGATGTTGCTCTAAATCAGCAGAAAACCTCAGTTTGACTTTAGATTTGCCTTCATTCTCTATAACCTTTGGCCTGGAGTGATTTGTCCAGAACTGTTCAACGTGCAAGTCCGTGACTAGAACAGGGAAAGAGCAGCAGACATTCAAGAGACAGGGCTTTTATAATCAATCTGTTGATGAGATGGGTGCCTGTGACCGAGAAAAATGCACTGATTTCCATTTTCTCCGATTTTCTAGAAATTCAGGAAGTTGGTTACGCCCAGCTCAGACCTGAAAATGCGGGGGAAGCTTGGAGGAGGAGCCTACATTGCAGCAATAAATGACTGCGACGCCAAACTGAAAGGAGATGGCACCATTTCAACCATCACAGAAAAGGAGACACATTTCTAAAAGAACTATCTTTTTTTTTTTTTTTTGGGCTGTTTTATTTTTTTGTATAAATAAATAAATAAATTCACTTAATTATAGAGGCTGGCTTGTTTTGCACAAAATTTTATTAACCAGTTAATTTTAAAGTGAAAATTGTATACTTGTTTAAAAGTGATTTTTTTGAAATTATAAGTAATGATTATGTAAAAGAAAAAGAAATAGTGTTATATGGTCTGTTAGTGATGACTTCTTGTAATATGGTGATTTCGGTAAATGTTCTTTTTTAGAAGTTAGAGGGACCTGTATAATGTGCTGTAAAACTTTTCTACTTTGATTTCTGGCAGGTGTTAATGTTGTATAGATCTCTGCCTTCTAACCTGTAAGCATTTCAGACCATTTCAGCTTTTTGTGTGTATATAAAGGGAACCAGACTGTCCTGTTATTTGTTTCAGAAGAAGTGATGAGGGGATGGGGCTGACTTGTGGCTGCTGTTGCATCTCTGTGTCTGTGTGTGGGCAGGACTCAGCTCCCAGCTGAGGGCAGTGGCTTTGTCCCCTGTGATCCAGCCCCTGCCCAGGCTAATCCTGAGTCCTGCCCATAACAAGGCTCTTCTTTAGGGTGAGTTTTGTGACCCTGACAGCACCTCAGCTGTTCCTGTCGCCTTCCCTCCACCTCCCATTGGCTTCAACAGGTCAAAAATGTGTGGCCCACTTCTGAGTCACTGTTTTTCTGGAGATTGGATTGAGTTTATTTCTGAAGGGCTCTGAATTTTGCTGCTCTCGTAGGCTAGTGGTCTCTAAGAGGATGTGCACTACTTCAGGAAACACCCCAAACTTTTTAATTTTGCTTAGTATCTGTGTGGCCAGTACTTCATTTTTGGCTGGCATTTACCATCCCCTGGAGTGAAATGTGTTTGTTGGAGGTCAAGGTTGCTTTATAGATTTAGAGATGTTCTGAGGAAAAAAAGAGCATGTTTAGAGGTCTATATATTGTGGCCTCTGTCTCTCACTTTATCTACTTTTCTACCCATTCCCCTCAATAGAAATCAAGGATCCTGCAGTGGCAAAGGGTAGCACTACATAGGTTTTCTCATGGCACATGGTGGGATAGTTTGGGTGTCCTGTGCAGGGTCAGGATTTGGACTTGTTCCCTTCCAACTCAGGATATTCTGTGTTTTCTCTTCAAGGTACTTTCTAGATATCCTCTGATTAGGCACTTATTCTTCTCCCCTGAACGGTATTGAGGCTTGCACTGAATTCAGAGTAGGAGTCTATCTGGTGGAAGGTTGGAGTGGTGGTTCTTTTACCTCTAACAAGATTTCCAAGAGGTCATTTATATAGGGTGCAGGTGAAGGAGTTAAGACAGGAATGTTGTGACTCCTCTGTGTCACAAAGTGAGCACTATTGGATTTGTCATATCAGGCCTTTTATTCCATCAGTTGTCTGAATTGACTCCCTCTGATTTAAAACTGATTTTGTATGTGAATCTAATGCTGGGTGGTTGTTCCACGAGGTGTGCAGATGCCCCAGTGTCAAAATCTCTAGACCTTATTTTGTGTTGGCTTTTTTTTTCTGACAGTATTCCAAACATCATTATTTGTTCTTGCCAATTTTTCTTGTGCTGTTTTTGTTATTTAATGGTTTTATGAGAAACCTGTGGAGGAACACTGTCCTACACTGCACAGTATTTGGGGGGGAGAGGCAAGCAACAGCCTAAGACAGCCATGAAGAAATGTCATAAAATCTGCTGCATTTCTGCAACTCAAAACCACCAAAGCTCAGATACTAATACCTGGAGTTGTTAGAAACAGAAGTGGCTTCTCCCAAGGAAACATTTCCCTAGAAGTCATAAAGTGTATCTAAATATTGAATGGATAGAACTGTACATGCAAATCAGCATTTCTTTGAGACCTTGCTGATATCTCTTAAAAAAGAATTTTCATAAACTTGCTTTGTCTCACGTCACATCATTAAATCTAATAGATCTATTTAATTTTACTTTATCTTATTTGTAGGGGGTTTTCGTGTGGCAAGGTGGGAGTCCAAGGGAGAACTTCTCTACCACAATTCTGCTTCAAGTACTGTAAGTCCTGCTTGCCTTTGCACATCTCCATTGTGAGAAGCTTAGGATAGGACATTTGGAAGGAACCTGCCTTTAGGCAGGCACAGACCTACAATCTTGTGCCTTCTGGCCTCCCTCAGAGGGAGTCTGCAGCTTGTCATCCAGAGCTAGAGGGTACCACTGAAAATCACAGTCCCATGGACTGGAATAGAAATAGTCCTGGAAAAGAAATGCTCCTAGAGTTGAAACCACAGATGAGATCCATACAATGAAAGAAACGAAAGCTACATATGGTAGCATTGAGAACATGCTCATTTCAAAACCTAGAAATCTATGTTTTTAGAAGTCCTAATGAGTCACAAATATTTTTGATTCAGTGTCCCTTCCTGGTTTTTCTCTCCACCCATCAGAGTTGCAGAACACCAGCCCCAAAGCCACATATGGGCCTTGGGGTGGATCGTGTTCTCTCTCAGAGCAAATGTGAAGATATTTTCTTACTGTTGAAGAATGTGCAAATGCAGATGCAACTTAGGTTATGCTTGGCCTTGGTCTCTGTGGTATTCCCTTCAGCAATCAGGACTCATCAGGAACGTTTCCAGCCCCATGTGCCAAGAGGTGCAGCCCCACCACTCCCCTGGCCACCCACGGACACAAAGGGAACCCCCACACAAGTCAAGGTTGCTCTTTGAGTCAGGACAGAGAAACTTGACTCGTGCTCTGTAGCTTGTCTGTGTTCTCTGAAGTGCTGTACTCATCCCAAAAATCTCCACTGGAACTATGTACTTTGGAACATGCTTCCTCTTCTGCTGCTATGAACCATTTCACCCATGGCTTTATACACATACAGATGGCTCGGTGTGGTCTAAAGCATTTCACAGTGTTACTGATGTGCTGTGCTTGTACACGTGTGTGCTTAATACCTGACCTGTTTAACACTTTACTGATTTTTAAAAAAAAAAAAAAAAAATATTTTTCTTTTGCGGGGAGGGATGTGGGAGGGCAAATTTCCTAATAGGATTTGTGTTTTGTTTGGGTTTTTTTTTTTTTGAAACAATATGAGGGGGGAAGGGGGAAATGCAAAAAGCCCGGATATATCGTTGTGGGTTTTTTTATGCAGTAGAAACAATACTGCCCTTTTCTGAAATATCTGCAGTATTATTAAAAATAATTAAATGAACAACCACTAAGTTTTATGTAACATTTCACACAAAGAAAGAGTCTGTTTGGTTTTGAAGGGCAGAAGATTTCGTCTACTTTCTTGTTTTCAAAAATTAAAGGAAATGGGCAAAACTCATTCTGTGTATTTTAGTTTCTATTGCTGTACTTTGTGTGACACTCCCCTAACGACTTAAATAATCACAACTACCCTTTTAGGGCAGAAAAATATCCCTTGATTCTAAATGGGGAACTGAGAAAAAAGGAAAGATTTAGCAACTTTTTTAAGCTCACCCAGCAAACCTGTGGCTGAAAGAAACTGAAGTCCCCTGATCTCACAACTTCATGTTGCTGTTGTTTAACAGCAATTTAATATTTTAAATTCCTGTTGCCAGGGAAAAGCACAGACCTACTGCCACTTTCCTGCTTTCCTCCCCCTACCCTATCCCTCCCCACTTGTGGCTGGTTTTGCTGGGGCCTCTGTGTCGCTGGCAGAGTTAAAGCCACGCAGAGAGTGGATGCAGGAACTTCTTGGGATGAAAGGACGAGCCTGTGATTGGCTTTCATAGAATCAGAGTATCAGCTGGGTTCCAAGGGACCTCTGAGATCATGAAGTCCAGCCCTTGATCCAACCCCGCTGTGGTTCCCAGCCCATGGCACTGATGCCACATCCAGGCTCTTCTTAAAAACCTCCAGGGATGGAGAATCCACCCCTTCCCTGGGCAGCCCATTCCAATGGCTGAGCACCCTCTCTGTGAAGAAATTCTTTCTGATATCCAACCTAAACCTCCCCTGGCACAACTTGAGACTGAGCCCTCTTGTCTTGCTGATCATTGCCTGGGAAAAGAGACCAACCCCCCCCGGCTCCCCCCTCCTGTCAGGGAGTTGCAGAGAGTGAGGAGGTCTCCCCTGAGCCTCCTCTTCTCCAGGCTGAGCCCCCCCAG